AAAAAAAAAAAAAAAACCTTAAAATACACTTCCGTACAATGGCCATCCCGTGTAAGCAATATCATACCCGGAGTAGTTCCTAGGGGAGGAATGGAGAATAATTAATGGTTCAATATTCCCACGTGTACACCAACTTTACTTTGAATTTGAATTATTGAAAAGCAGTTGAACGGCTCTGCCRCCGTTCGAGATATGAGTTTAAAACATTCGATTTAATGCGCAGGCATCTAAACTGATTTGAACGACATACGCAGCTCACGTATTCTATTGGAAACCAAAACGATGTAGGCCTGTTATGTATAGCTTTGATTACTGTACAACACACAAATTACCAGACACCGACAATCTTGGACGTATTATGTATTAATTATTGTATTATAATTTTATTATTATGATTTCCGATTATTTATTTTTATTTTATTGAAAACGCGACCGAACAGCAGAGGTGAAAACTTTGGAAAAAAAAAGTAGGAAAAAATCTGCACCAACCGACACGTAATTGATTAGCGTTAACAGTCCAGTTGGAAAAATGGTCCAGAGAGAACGTTGTTCTAATGCGGCTAATGGTTCTGCGCTGCACCGTAAATACTGTAGGTACATATATATATATATATATATATATATATATATTAATATACGTGTGAGTATGTGTTTGATGTAATGTATATATGTATATATGTGTGTGTGTGTTCGGTCTCTCACGTACAGTATACCGTTCCCATTAGAAACGGGTGGATGGGGTGAAAACTGCTGCAGCAGATACGTGGCAGGCAGGAAATACCTGTTCTTAAAAACACCCGTGTCCTGGACAAGATTTAGTATAATATGTACACGGCCGTTACCGTTTAGGTTCAAAACGCGAATGGCGGGCGGTGGCCCGGCGAGATCGTTTTTGTTCCAGACAGATTCATAATTGGGGCACTAAACGAGCAGCCGACCACGCGAAAACGACTCCGGATTACGCCTAAGACAACTGTGATTTCCGATTAAATATTTTACGAGTGACACGTCACACGTCATGTCTAGTGGTTCTCTGTGTGTGTGTACATCGCAAATAACAATGTGCGACCTAATTCTATTATAGTGACCACCTCTGTTAAAGTGTATCCAACAACACCATTAGCTGCAATATTATTACAATTGCTGCACTGACCAGTATGATGTTGAGTATATTTCATAAGTTCAACATTGGGCTGGGAATTGATAAACCGATGAACCATCWCACTACAGGGCAAAAACTAGGTCTTGCTTTGAATTACTGTGGTGTATTTTTATAGGTACGCTATCGGACGTGAGAAGTACATAATACAAATACTTCAGAAGAAAAAAAAATACCAGAGCGTCATTTTTTTATGCTTGCCTCGTGGRTATAGCTATAAAGTTTTGTTTGCCTTTAAGTTGACAAGTTAAATTACGACATAATATAATACACTTTTTTAAGGTGTTGTAGCTGAAATAAAATGATCATAATATTATGTTTTACTTGAAAAATAATAGCATCATTTAAAACAAAAACAATAATAATATTTTWATTTATTTAATACATCAGTATAAACTCTTATAAGAAGAATTTKATAATGAAAGCGTTCCTTTATCAAAATTTTCAGGATTTGGGCCCCGATCAGAAATATAAATAGTTAACACTTTCAATAAAATCGTTAATAATTTAAAACCCTGAAATTAAATTATCCTCGTCGATATTAAATTCTGCACCTCTAACCGTTGTAACGATGAGCTTAAAAAATAGCTGTCAAGTTTTATAGATCCACCCTGTACCAGTAAATTTATACAGTGTGTAACAGAAAGATATGACATTCTATCATATCTCTTATGTTTTTATACGTTTCATTTGTCATATCTTTCTGTTACATTCTGTATACTAATATTAATTTGTAACCTGGAATTTTCCTGCAGCTATAATAATAATATAAGTTTTCAACTTAATAAATGCATAAATGTGTACAACAGTGTAAGTTGTGGTCTGTTCACGGATGAATAAGAGTTTTTTTATTAATTACTAAGCATGTGGTGCATTTTTAGAGTAGCCACGACGTTAACATATACCTATAGATACATCCGATCATAAGAAACGCTGTTATTATTTTAGGTACTTAATGAATACAGGAGCTGAACTTGTATAGATTAAATAACGCATCATGAATGTTCTCTCGAATCGCATATTACAACGATGAGTGGATGGGCCTACATTTTTTCTACTTTTTTTTTCATATTACTATAAATAATTATACGCATATATAATATTCTATAGTGCGTATGTGTAATATTTATACCTATATATAGTCTATATTATAGGCTTTATGTAATTKTTCAAACCTTTTTGCAATGACAATAACACCATCTAACACGTGGAGATAAAAATTATTGTAAAAATATATTATTTTATATTGTGTGCATATATATAATATATTATTATATTTTATATTATAGAATATCAATTATTATATTATTCCGAAACGTCCGCAAAGGTCGCGGGGCAACGAGATATCGGTCGGATGGCGGCGGACGTAGAGGATGTCCGCATTGTTTATAATCGAGCGGGTTAAGCCCGAAACAAAGAATGACATTCATTGTTTAATGAATCGCGTAGTACGCTGGGTATTATACAGTATAACAATGCGACCGCAGTGGCGTCGGCTACGATGGACAAAGGGTGTGTTGTATTGATGGTTGACAGTGTAATTTAACAGGATTCTTGGTGGCACAACGGTATGGGAAGGGCGCGACTGCGAAGGCGACACTATCGATACCCCYTCCGCCTCCATAACTCCCACATCGTTCCCGATGTTCCTGCTCCTGTCCTTGTCCTTGATTCATTCCTTGCTCCTGCTACAAAACCAAGGTATAACTACTGAGTATTTTTAAATATCACACCGGTGTGGGCTGTTTGCCACCATMACCACGTTCTCGATAGAAATAAATCCCAGTTCTTATAAATAATTTGAATGCCTACCTAATTAAAACGCAAACTTTTCCGGAATTATTACTCACGCCTATGCAAATATGCAATATAATCGTCACCGACCATCGTCATGATAAAACGGTACGGTGTACTTAGCTCGCACCCCGTCAAATGAAACTTTTGAACGCGTAAGAGCTAGTTAGCTTATAGGTACGACTGATGTCGCGTGTGTTTCGTAAAATATACGCTAGAATTTCAGTAACAGACCGATGTCCATCTAAACTCGTAGTTAGAGCACAACAACTACAGCTTTAGTTTTACGATAAAAATACTTATAAAACAARTTCTTTAAATATYTATTTATAAATATCAGCCAAATATATAGGAAACAGGGCCAARGAACAATAGTTATAACCATTTTTAAACTGTACATTTTTCCTATATTTTAAAACKATCATAACATTAACTTTTTTTTAAATTTATTTTAAATATACATTATACAATCTATACCTAAGAGGCACGATGAGTACGCCATGTGGTATAGAGAGAAATTACATATATACATATTATTATTATACATTAATACATCTAAAAAAGAGGGGAACTAACATTTTTTTTGTTAACGTTTTTTATTTAAACTTTTTGGATACAATTAGTTTCAACAATTACAATTAAAATTACAAAATACAAATACAGTAAATACAGTTACAAATACAATAGAAATAGTACAATATAAAATTAGATTAAAAAGCCTGAATGGTTAAAGAAAGATAATATATTTAATATGATGTTTTTTTGTTGGTTTGAAAGTATACTAATAGAATCGAAACGGATGTTGTAGGTACTAAAAATAGATAATAGGTGGTAGCGATATGTGGATAGTTTGGGACAGATGAAGAGTAGAGAGAACTAACATAAACATATACATAATATAATATTTACATGAAACACGATATGTGAGATGTGAGAAGCCATTCACTTATTCACTAATGAGTAAAATATAACTTACTTAAAAATAATCATATCAATAAAATCCTACGAGATTCCCTAGATAAAAATCTTACCTTTAACTTTTACCACTGGTCAATTCGTTCTAATTTTAAAAATAACAGAAAAAAATTGATTATTATTAACGTAAAATTTGCTACGTTGTACAATATACATTATTTGTAAGACGTAGACAACACATGCAGGCATAACGTCATCTTAATTCGCATCACTAAAATGTTTTATTTGTCTACCTAAAAATTATAAATGTTACGGCCAAACCAGGAAATCCGGACATTATGCACATTGTCCGGATATTGTTCACAATATATTATAAGCAATGGAAATATTATCATATTACAGCTTCATTATTTTCTACATTGCACAGCCATTTTCATACAATTCCCGGACAACGTATAGGTACTTTTACTGAAAGTATGTGGAGAATGTGTAAGTTTGTTTATCGTTTATATATAATTTTATAATACATATTATATTGTATCCAATGAGATTACGCCAGGGTAGGGTTCCAGATTTTAACCCCCCCTCCCCCTGAAGTATTTGTTCCTTGTTCCWTTTATAAAAAAAACCGTATTCACAACTATAGTCTCTACACAGGTCAAATTAATTGTTGGTAATTTTTAATAGATATAAAGTAAATTGTAAAATAATAATAACATCGAAAACTATAGTTTCAGTTTTTTYAGCTGATTGAGAACTTTTAGATTCTGATCGAAGCGAGGAATGTATTGGTTTTACAATGATGTTTATTAA